TAAATACGAAGCCCTTGTGACTATGGGAGGTGGTTGGCAACGCACGATGACGATGATAATGATTTGATTAAGAATAAACAGAAGTGCCCAACATTTGTGCTAAGCATAAACTGCACGATTGGAGAGTTTTGACTTGAACCATAGTGGGTCCTCAGCAAATTTGTTAATATTTATGAAATATGCAATTTGGTGGTCTCAGCCGTTTACAACGCACAATGGGTGATTGCAGATGGACTTCTGACAACTGCATTACTTAAAAAAAAAATGTTTCTAGGTCATGCAAAATTACTATAAAACCGATTTTAAGCAACAAGCCCATTGCTGAGCAAAAAGTTGAACAAAATTATTTCCAGTGAAACTTGACTTGATGTCAAACGAAGTGCACGAGACAGGCCGGCAAAATTTGTTAGCTCAGTTACAAACGGGGTTCAGACACTTTCCCATATACAACTGAGTGTTTAGAATATCACTTGGGTCGTACACAATATTTTTGCAGTGAAGCTTCGCTATACAAAGGTTTTTTCACAGCCTAGTTCTTCAAATTGCATCTACAGACTCGATGTGCCATAGTGTTGCTGTATAGAGCCTAATTCTATGCCCTTTTTTCTCTACCTTTGGGCTTACAATGCACGCAACATTCTATTTGATGTTTCTTGTGCCAGGGCTTTGATACATAAGGGATCGTTATGAAGGACACATGTTATATTGAAGCTTTCATATTCGGCCTCCACCGTTAATTTTGAAGGTAAGAATGATCTTTGCAGTAATGAACACATCTTTAGCAGTAGTAAAATTAAAGCCTCCAAAAAAAAAAATAGGTATGTACAGGCGTTAAACCCATGACCTCTGCGATACCGATGCAGTACTCTACCAACTGAGCTAATAAGCCAACTGGAAGCTGGTCATTAAGTTGGTTCGTAATAAACACGTGAGTGGTGAATGAACGACTGTGGTATATGAATATCATTCATTCGAAATTAAATGCGGATTGATAAATGAAGATAAGAATGATCTTCGTCGTACTGGTTAAGCTGTAGCGAAAATATTATTTTCTTCAATAAAAACAAAGATCATAGCGCATCAACTTTTATTTCATGTTTTATCAGGCATAGTACCACTCGGATAATCCTCAATTCGATAAAAATTTGCCGCATACCTCCACTGAAAATTCGCATTTCAACTGTATTCAATAAGAGAAAGACTGACTTCCGAAACTGTTAAACAAGGACACTGCAAATTTGACAGAAAATATAGTTTTTAAATACAATTTTACTGAAGTTTTGATTAACAGTTCTTCGTCGACCATCAGATCCAAAGTGCAGCTGTTACATTACTCGTATAAATATAGATTTGATTACATACTCTGTTATCTAATCTACGTCGGAAAATGTGAATCGAGACACATGTATAGACATGCTACATGTATCTATTTTTCCTGATTTCTCACAACTTATGTGGCTATCCTAATGAAGAGATTTTGTACACTAGCAGAAAATCAAATACGTTCCCTATTCACGCTCCGCAAATGGAATTGAAGTTTGTTTGACCAAGATGATCAAGCACTTGAACTTGCATGTTTGCTGCCAGAAAATTGGAAAATGGAAAGAAAAATGCCGACACACAACTCGCCGGTCTTAATCATCTTTTGCCATTCATGGCAACTCCCATCACGAACTCATTAACAATAATTACTAGTCTTGCGAATTCTTTAGATGGATTCTCTGGATGGATTTACGTTTGCACCTTTTGCGTGACAACAGTTTCATTTGCGAGACCAAGAATAAGGTGCAGGTTGAAATTCAGTCAGTCCTATTAACACATTATTTTAGCAGTGGTGTCTGCTTTGGTTTCCAAATGACTTTCAGAGGAGAGGTTCTCTCTTAGTTAGTATTACTACCATGATAAAGAATTGCGTGCTGGATTACAAATTTAAAATCAATTAAAAGAGTAGAGAGTATAATTTCAGCTAAGCGCTTTGGAGAGATGAATGTTTAAAACTTAAGCGAGCACATGGCGTGGGATACGATCCAACAAAACATTTGTTTAGTCATCGAATGATTTAAAGCATTGGCATAAAAAGGAACTTGTGCTTTGCTTGCAGTTAGAAACTCTACCTCAATCCCGTTAATTAACAATTGGTTCATACGTCAGCGTGCGTTCATCGAGATATGAAGCATGCTGACGTAGGAACCAATTGTTTTTATAACATTTTCAACCCCGATGGAAAATTTTTTTTCTTGAGGGATTTGTTTGCTGGCGTCATGAGCGTGCACAATAGGAATATGAAGCACGCTCGCGCAATTGAACTTGATTTCACAAATTTACTAGCTATGTTATAAAATAATTTGAAACCTCTGTGTTTTCAATCAAAACGGAATGACGTAGTTATTTCAAGTGTCTTGTGCAAACGCACCAAATTTTTGAGAAGTGATCCGTTTATCATGATGCGTAAAGAAGTTTAATTCGCAAGATCTCAGGATAAATTCCTTTTCTCTTGTAGTAACTAATTTGTTCGAAACATCATCTTGGCTTCACGTGCTTGCTCTTGAATAGGTCAAAAGTTACGTTTACTGAATTTGATCAAAGCCGATCCTTCGGAGGTAATTTAGACTACCACAAAAGACCGCGGAGTACCCAAAATTAATTAATTCTCGTAATTCTCAGTTTCTTTCTCTTTCCTGTGGGTAATGTTAGAATTAAGATCTATAGTGTTTGAATTAAGATCTGATCTGAAGGGTCTGGAGAGCCCTTTGTGCGTCAGTAATCAATTTTCCTTGTAGTTAAAGAGAACAACATTTTTAGCCAAGCGAGTCCCATCCATCAATATATGAGGACATCGCTGAACAGTAAATTGGAAGACCACTTGAGACCACAAGACTAGTGTTAGATGCAATCAATGCTTCATCATTTGAATAATCGGCTGGTCCGGTTCCAGTTGCATGCAGTGCAGTTGATTTCAGACAGCCCTGAGGCTTAAATGGGTTTACATCACTGGACACTTCACTTCGCTGATCTTAAGAGAAGAGACTCTTTCGTGATGGCACGTATACCTTGGACTCTACCCAGAAGCCACAATTTTATTTAGTTTACGTGACAAAAGAACGAGGTATCTTGCGGGAAGAACATCTCATCTTAAATGTGCATAAGCTTATCTTTCAAATGTCTGCATTAAAGATAGCAAAGAAGCACAGTACTATTTGCACGACACCTTGAATTTTTACGTACGCATGCACTTTAGAAGGTTCGGAGAGTAGACTTTAATTACTCATTGTTACTCTATATGAGAAGACGTTATGTGCAAAATGATTCAATCAAAACTGACCCCGACTAACCAACTCGGTTTCAAAGTTTAAGACCGTTTTAAAAGACGGTAAGCTACTTCGTTTTTCGTCATCTAAGATCACGTATTTGCTTTTCAACCCAGCCTTGAGGTCTTCATATTCAACTTGCAGTATTGTCTGCATGTTGAATACGTCTAACTGAGTATTATCTGAATTATGATAGATTCTACAGAAATCCTTGCATTTTTGGATTCACGACCGAGCAATAGACTTGCAAATTACTCATTTTAAAACGCACGTGCCATTTATAAATTTAGGTACCACACTATAGAAAGTGAAATTCTGAGCCCATGACTCTGCTAAAATCTTGTTTACAGTATCTTGGCATGTCAAGTGACATGTGTCCCTGACTCATACTCACTTGCCATTGCAATTGTTGCAAAAGTTTGACAGTCTAGAGAGGTGGAATGTTTTTTTTTAAAACTTCGATAGATATCATAGCAATGTCGGAATTGAATAATTGAAGAAAAGTTAAAAAAAAAAATGATTTCAATAAGTCTTTATGCGTTACCCACAGCACGAAGGGCTGTCAAAGCATGAATGCTTTGAGGTAGCAAGGCTTCGAAGTTTGCTTTGAATCGTCAATGGCCAAGATAAATTTTCACATTATCTATTTTCTTCTTTTCAGACTCTAATTCCGAAAGTGATGTCGTCTGTAACCGCAGTAACCGCAGTATTTACATTCTGTTGTTTCCTGTGTTTCACACTCACTGCCAGCCGTAAGTTTCTCGAGTTGAACAAAACTATATTATGTAATGTACCTGGCTTTCTCTGATAAACTCGACGAGGTTTTTATTTAACGATTTCAGTCTATCTAGTCAGCACGACCAAAATAAAGAATTCGTGTAGCCGTGTTGCAATCCTGCGTGACAAAAATTAGCAGTAATTATGCATGCCTAATTCCGCGCGAGGGTTCTTCTCTCGATTTCAGGCAGACACTGGTGCGCAAAAATTACCCATACTACCGATAACTGACGTGATAATTCAGTCTGCAGCCAGCTGCTGTCGACATAATTAACAAGAAGTGCATGCGTAGAGCATCGTTCATGTTAGTAGACAAAGCATGCATATTAACCCACCCGGTTTAAGAGCCTTTGCTAACCCCCTTCCCCCCTCTCCTCCTACCACTTGGATAGCTCCTCCTCTCGTTTAAAGAGACTTGTCCAAAAAAAGCTGATGAATCCATAAAAATCTTCATTTTGGGGAGGAGGATTTGAAGTACGGGAGGAGAAGAGTAAAGAAAAAGAGGACCTTGTTCCCTTCCGGCCCCATTCACATCGTTTTATGTACGCCTTTCTCTCCTCTCTCATAAGTCTCAATAAGGTCGCCGTAGAGGCAAAGTCATTTGAGAGAAAATGTGCATCGCATAAAACGGTCGCAATTTAATTATCTTGTAACTGCTGCTTTGTCCGGCCGTGCTAGAAATTAAAAAGACACCTCTCCCTTTCAGAACCAAACTTTACAAAGTTGCCTCCTGCCACTGTGTCTGCAAATTTGGGATCCAGTGCCATATTTTCGTGGGATTTAAGTTTTGGAACGTCAACGTCAGATAGGTTTGGAAGCATCCTTTGGGGAGAAACGTCTACTAACAGCGATCGGATTCGGAATAAATACATCACCGTTGTTAAAGGCCGGACAACAGCGTTCAACTCAGCGGTCAACCCAACACTCGATGACACATTGAAATCCAGATTGAGCTGGGCGGGAAATATCAGTAAACATAGCTGTCAGATTGATTTCATCTTAAAGAATGTCACCAAATTAGATAAAACTCGCACTTACGGTTGTACAGCGACAGTGGACGGGTTAGATCAGAGGAGTGGTCCTATAAAACTGGCCGTTCTCAGTGAGTATGAGCATTCTCAATGGTTTATCGGTGTTAAATTTCAACCAGGTAACTTGGTTTTTATCATTCACTCTGACGAAGGGCTAACACTCGAAACGCCAGTTTAAGAAACTGTTTTCGGTGGCTGATTTACTTTATGAACTCAGTTAATAAATAGAGAATAATACATGGGTGTGGGGAGATATGGGACTTCTCTTCGTGATATCTTCCGAAGGTCGATTTCTGTTCTCAGCCGCGAGAAACTGAACGACGTTACCAAAGCCACTGAATTCATTACTCGGTTTTTCTCTTCGTAGTTTGGTTTTCTTCCCCTTCTAGAAACCTTTGAACGTCACTGCCTATAGGCGATATGAATTTTTCAGTGTTTTAGCAGCCATATGATATGACAGAGTGGCGAGAAAGGCGAGTGATATGTCTCAGCTGATTGGCCGCGACTTCAAACACGCGTGAAAAATTGTCGTGTTTTTTCCACATGTGTTGTTACGGCTTTTCTTAGGGCTGGACTTCCTTTATATCACAGCAGTTTACATGATAAACCCAAATCAAATCCAAATCAAATACACACCGCCGACACAGCACCACAATTTCTTTAGAAACCTACTCCTTTCATTCTAACTCGATACTTCGTACTCGTCTCTCGTAAGTGGAGCGGAGCAGAGTTGAAGTAAAATATTACGTGACGTTCTAAAGTAAATGATATAACCGACCATATTTTGTTATTCCCTCGCTTACATTTGTTTCAGTTCCACCGACCATAACCCATCGATCCAACAAGACTATTGATGTTGAAGAAGGAGTCAACGTCACACTACATTGTGACGCAATAGGTGACCCTACCCCAAGTGTCGTATGGGTCAAAGATGATAAAACGCTACAAAATGGCACCTCAACGCCTACGCTTCAAATTCCAAGAATAGAACTGCGAGATGCTGGAACTTATGTCTGCACAGCCGCGAACCAGGCTGGCTCCGCGAAGTACAGCGTTCAAGTGAGGGTCGTACGATGTAAGTTAACTGAAATTAACTCCTTTTCTCCGAAGTACATTCAATACTCATATCAGCCTGTTCATCTCTTTCACAGAGTCAGGATTTAAGTATGTACCTGTGAGTCATAGAAACAGGAAAGGGGATTAAAGCAGGCATATTATGTCCTTTGCGCTTTAACTAACTTTAAAACATTAAAAACCACGTGGTAGAGTCATTTTATGCCTGCAGCTGAAAAATTTCCTGATGTTCCTGATAATGCCATGAGCTCTTAGTGCATTCAAATATTCGCAAATGCGATGAATATCTAGTCACACTGGACTCTTGGGAATTTGGTAACCAGAGATACCTGAGACCCCCCTTCTCACCTTAGTAAAAAGAAGTTAAATGGTAGTCAATAATAGCAAAGCACTGTGGGATACTCAAAAACCCTCAAAAGAAGCTGAGATAGGATATCTCTATCAAGAAAACCTGTCTATCCCCCACCCCCACCCCCCTCCCCTGTCCAAGCATTGTGCCATTTTTTGTTTCTGAAATAAATTCTTATTTCAGATAAACCTTATATTAACAAGACAGGAACTACAGATCCTCTCATGAAATCCTGGATTAACCACACGACACCCTTAACGTGTGCAGTAGATGCTAATCCGTCTGCAAATTTTACCTGGTTAAAACATGGTCAACCACTGTTAGCCGGGGTTAACTTAACGCGTGGCATGAGTACACTGACGCTGATTCCAAAGACTATGGGTGACTTTGGTTTGTACTCGTGTAAAGCTGAAAACGAGAAAGGGTCTATGGTATATAATATTACAGTGGAGCGCCTCTGTAAGTGTTAACACTTTTATTTACTCTTAGCTGTTTCTGTTTCTGTCACTGCTGAAAGTCTCTAAAAAAATTTTTATATTAGTTACAAGTTTATGCTACGTTTCGAAATTTAACTAAACTACTTCCCGTACGTTTCCAATAACATCTCATCGCTTCATGATATGTTTCTTCGCATTGTCAACACTGGTACAATACAGAACAAAGGGAACAAATCGTTCAAACGTCATGAAGGATTCATTGGCATTCCCAAACGCTCAAGGGTCTTATTTTTGATGGTGTGGCCTCTATGATAAAGCCTTAAAAGAAAGAATTAGAGCAGGGCTCATTTCTTGTCAGTTTTGTTGGACATGTTCCTCAATAGTGCTTTTCAACTGGATATCATGAACCAAAATAATTATTACATCTAATGCTGACTATGAAAGTATCAATGAGAAACAGATAAAGCTGACTATGAAAGCGTCAATAACAATCTATCGTAGGTGTGTGTTACTGGCTTTAAGCTTGGCCGCTGATCTGATTGGCTGAGAGCGGGCGACCTCAATCAGAAAACGCGGTGCAGGAAAACTAGAGACGATCCTTCAAAATCAGTGATTTCTTTCGGAAGCCATTTGAAAATTGCTCTGCTTCACCTAAGATACATGATTGTTAACTTTTATCTGCCATGAAATCAATTTTACTATTTAATATTTTTTTAGACTCACCAGGGCCGCCTGTTATAAACAAATTTACCTCAGATGTGCAGTCCGTCAATGTGTCATGGGATGCGCCACAAGACGACACTGATGGTGGTATATTTGATTACAAAATTACAATACTTGAGGAAAACTACCGAATGATACAGCAGTATCATGGAATCAAACAAACGTTCTTCAACTCTCAAAATCTGAAACAAAACAGATCTTATATCGTTTTCTTACAAGCAAGAAATATTGTAGGTTATGGAGAGTCCGCAAATGGTACTGTTAGAACGCTTAAGGCAGGTAAGGAATACAAATTTCTTTAATTAAACAGCTTGTCATTGCCCGTGACAGTAGTTCACATAAACAGTTAGTCAATCAGCCACACAGCCAGCCAGCTTTCCAGTAAGTCAGCCAGCCAGTAATTACGAGTTAGTCATACAGTCAGTCAGTTAGTCAGGCAGTCAGTCAATAAGTCAAAATAAATTTGGTTTTATCAACTGAGTTGATGATGTAAATTGGCCACCGTAAAGAGTTTAAAAGCTGACGGTTCGTGCGTTAGCCCTTCGTAAGAGCGATAGACGCGGCACCACAATTTCTGCAGAAACTTACCCCCTCTATTCACTAATCAGTCAGCCAGTCAGCCAATCAGTCAGTCATCAATCAGTCGGTCAGTCAGTCGGTCTATCAGTCAGTCAATAAGTCAGTCAGTCAGTCAGTCAGTTGGTCTGTCATTCAGTCAATTAATCGTTTAGTTTAACGTAAACATTACTTAAGTCAGTCTTTCGTAGTAAGACAGAGAGTTTAAACAGACAGACAGAAGAAAGCCAGAGAGATGTCATAATGTGGTAGGTTCTGAAGGTCAAACCGGTGATCATTCAATATAGTTATTCCGTTATTCAGCTATCCAGTCCGTTAAGTTATCGCTCAGTCGGTCATGGCAAACGATCGATCGGTCGACTACTGAGTCTGCCATTTAATCGGTCGGTAAGCCGATGAGACAATCTGTTTCCAGAGCATACAGTATAAACATCCAGGCAGTTAAAAGAGTCTGCTTGGTTCCAGCTGCGTCGCATCTAACTGAAAAGTCAACTGAACAAGTCAGTAGTGTTGGATCGATCAGCTCGTTGAACAATCATAACGCCTATCTGAACTGCTGATAACAAACCGATATTTCTTTTGCAGACCCGCCAAACCCACCCGATATAAAAGCGATATCCAAAGTTCTTGCGTTAAACATAACTTGGCACTCATCAATTGAGGACAGCAAAATTGAAATACTGGATTACAGAATAAAGGTTATAGATAGTATCACACACAGACAAGAAAATGAATATACCGGAATAAGAAGTACATCACTACTTATTAAAAACTTAGGAAGAAACAGGACGTACATTGTATTCATAGAGGCAAGAAACGAAGCTGGCTACGGACAGTTTGCAAACACCAGCGCAACAACTCTTCTACCAGGTACAACAAATTGTAGTACAAAAGTAACGGATAAAAAAAATTATATTTTTGGCAAAAAAAAATCGGCGGGAGTGGCTCATCGACAAAGCCAATAAACGATAAAAATCAAGATGCGATGTGATGCCCTTGCTTTTCATCCACATGGAGAGGCAATATTTCTCATCGCTTATTGATGTAGAAAACTGCAGATTAATAAGCTCATGTACTACAGTCCAATAATTTGAGTGCAGACCTCGTTAATTGATAGAAAATTTTCTTTTAAACAAAATCATTTTTAAGGCTTAATCTTTTTTTAAATCAAATCTCATTTTTTCAGAAGAAAGCACGACGACAGAGTCCAGTGCTGCCGTCACTTTACGGCACACTACGTACTTCCCTTCAGAAGGTAGGGACTCAAATACTGCCGATCTTGCCTTTTACGTCATAAAATAAAAACGTGGAAGAAGAAGACAGAGCACCAAGTCACTTTCTTAACTCAAAAGGAGGAGGAGCCTTGTAATGCCCTTACTTTCATCCACATGCATGGAGAGGCGATATTTCTCGTCACTGACCTATTGATGTAGAAAACTGTAGATTAAGGTCATGTACTACGGTTCAATTAGTCGAGTGCAGACCTCGTTAATTGATATAAAATTTTCTTTTAGTGAAAGTTGATGAAGCGATAATCATATATCCGCGAACCAGCCACACTTCCCATCCCAGTCTCCGAACTTCAGTACAGCCAATCGGCAAAAAAAAAGCAAAGTTTCCTTAAAGTTTGACTCTTTTCTCTTTTTCATTATCAAGAAAAGTGATCTGACCTAATTCAGTTATCAGAGCCATCCGTGCCCGTTCTAAGACACAGTCATCTGTAACTATCTTGTAGAATTGTCAAGTAGCACTGTGGTATCTCTGACGGAGTTACCTGTTATAAAACAAGATAAATATTTTATCCTTTTACTGTCCATAAGGTTTAGAAATTTTTCGAGAGCCGCTGTTTACTACGATAAAGAAATTGCAAAAAAATTAAATAGATTTATGTTTATCAGTGTGTTATCAATTTTTGTAGCGGCGCACAGAGCGGTCAATTGAGTTCAGTTTCTCTGTTCCCATCAAGCGACTTGAGCATCTATTGTTTGCTTTCTAGACGAATCTTACATTATAATTCCGACTTGGATCCCTTCTATTCCTCAAACTACTTCCCTTACAGAGGGCGACAGTTGCTCTAATTATTATCTAGTGTTTATCTCTGTTTGAAATGAATTTGAGATGTTATTCTACCTTTCTCATTAAAAATTAAAAGGATCTAGCACCAAGAGAAAAAGCAAAAAGGAGACGTTTAATTACCTTCTTCTTCTGTGGATTATCTTGCCGGCATTCGCAGTGCCTATAATTTTTTTCCTGTCCTGGAAAGCATCTAAAAAGAGTAAGTGGATCTTTTTGGTTTCGATTTTAGTATATATCACACGGCAGGTGAATAGTGTTCCTTCGCGCGCAGTGATTGGCTGGTTCGGGTGAGATCAGTAAGTACTATTCTACTTCGAGCAGCCGAAGAGACAAAATCGCCTGCCAACAATTTAATTTTCCGACCATTTTTGGTATACTGACATAGACAAACAAATTTGTTTGGTTTCTATGCGGCATATACTAAAACCATTACTCGCCACAATGTCGGTGAGTGGATATTTACATCCAGTTCGGTTAATAATTGTTAGATAGTACATTTTGAAAAGTTATCGTGAGACTGAAACCAAAGTAATCATACGGCGGGAGGGTCTGTTTCCATCTATTAAACAGTAGTGAAAAACAAACTTGAAATCTTTGCGCAGATTTCAGTTGCTTACAACGTAATCACGAGTAACTGAAAGTTATCTATGTCAGTGTATTATGTTATAACGAATAATTAAATTCTGAGGCTTTGCTGTTGTGTATCATATCAAAAAAACCATCGAATTATGGATGTTCTCCTATGACTTCACTAGTTATGAACAACTAAATTAGTAAATAACAGCTTGAATAATCTATTGCTTTTCAGTCACTCGCTGCCGCGGTCTGAAAGTGACAGATTTTGACGGGTTAGTATGCCAACCACGACAACCAGATCTCCATTGGTCTGAAATAGACCATTTTACTCAATAGCATTCTCGAAAAAATTTTGTCCCCCTTTCAATAAATAATACACTCGCTTGACCGAGGCACAAATTGCGTTTCACTTACGGTTTCACTTCAACCAACATTACTGAGGCTTTCTTGCATGAAACATAATCAAAGCAATGGTATATTTTCCTCTCGAATTACTTTACAGATTTTAAGAGGTAAGTATACAATTTTTCCTTGTGTTTAATCTGCGTCACTTCGCTGCGTTGTTCTTTTTCCAGAGCTTTGCACACGCCATGCATTCTCGTGGGTAAGAGCATCGCCTTTTTGGGGTTTTTTTTTCTCTTCTATGTTCTCACCCCGTTCTTCGCCTTCAAATCATCATCTTTTTCTATAGACCATTTGCCTCTTTCTCTCTCTGTTTATTTCTATAGAGATTGTGAGCAAGGCAATGCATTCTCGCTGAGTAAAATGGAAAAACTGAAGGAAAGAAGGGTAAATATTTCTAGTATTCTTATAGGACTTTCACCCTACGAATAGTTTGCTATGGCTTAATAATTGTCTCGAATGAAGTGGAGTTAGTCTTCAACTCGTAAAACACGTGTCTTAATCAGCGATGTTACAAGGGCGTGACCCGTGACCCCTCCCCCTTTGTGAGCCTTTGTCACATTAAGTAAACACAGCGTGGAGTATGCCTCCACCCTCCTTTTGAAAAATCCTGGCTACACCCCTGTGTAATGGACCAAAAATTTAGCCGCGCCTTACTGTGGTGTTTATATGACTCCGTTGATGAAAGTTAATGCGATCTTGTGAACGCTATTGTGTACGCTATTCTTTTTAAGGCTGAATTGAAGGTAAACGGTTGTAATTACCTAATTAAATTCCAGATTTCCAAACATGACGAGACTTTAATGGAAGATTCAGAAGAGCATCACAATCAGGGTCACTGCATGGAGGACGAAAGTGTCATAGACAATGGGAACCCTGTGACAGATCACCAACAGATCCCAGGAAGCATTGTGACGTGTGATCAGACCTACGAGAAACCAGACAGTCCTGGTTCAAAACAGGTTAGTTGCAACATAGAATCAAGTTGTATCGACTAAAACATCAATCACCGAAACAAAAAGGACAAACACTTAAACTGCGCGACTTATTGAGCTTCAATAATACATACATACATACATATATATATATGCATTGTTGAAGCTCAATACGTCATATATTATATACATATATATATATATGTAGATATCTAAATGAATGTGGGGGTAGAGTCTACCTTGGCATAAAGTGCTCAATGTTGTGGTGGCAGAGCTAAGTATACATAAGTTAAAGAATTAAAGTGGACGCATCGATTGAATCGATGCGTCCTCTTTAATTCTATATATATATATATATATATATATATATAGATATATATATATATATATATATATATATATATATATATAACTGCAGACAGTACTGCTTCGGCCTTCTGGGCCTCATCAGTGCAGTGCTGATGCTGGGATGGAGGTAAGGCCATATAGCCACCCCAAGTGATCTCACACATGTGGGATCATCTAAGCCATGCCAGAGTGCTCAAACTAGAAAAACTAGTGAGCATGTATAATATATATATATGCATGCATATGTATATATATATATATATATATATATATATGTATATATGTATTTTTTAATTTTCAACCGAACAAAACTCAGACTTCGCTTGTCAAAGGGTTCCTGGACTTGAAGAAAAATCATTAGGCCCACCAATCTCGCCAACACGTCACATTAAGCTGAGAGTAAAGACGAATCAGCGCCCTCTTGAGCGCAGAGTTTCTTTTCTTTTTATTTTCCAGGACTCCATCGATCTGACGAAAGATGATGCAAAACCCTTTGAGAACTTCCAAATGGCGCTTAAATGAAGACAAAGGCCAATCCAGGCTCTTCGGATGATGATCTGATGCAGCAATGAAACGTGGTCTGGATGAAATTTCAGTATTCCTTGTCGACTTTTCTTAAACAGTACATTTTACTTCAAGTCAGCACCAATCTTTTCATAATCAACATTAATTACAATTTAGTACAATTTACTAAACATAATGAGGAAATTTATTTCGTTGTTTTTTGACGTAAAGAAAACAAATTAGTGGTAAATAGCTGTGAAACTGCAAAATTAGACGACTTTTTAGTTCTTGAACTTGAGCATTGTAACATACTCCTTCGAGGGCAATCTGATTAGCTTTCAGCCGTGTGATTCACTCAGGAATCACACTAGCTGTTTTTTCTTTTTTTCGTTGTGAATTAGATTGGAAAACCAGAAAGTTAAAAGAATCAGATTTGTAGGTTTTCCAAAGTTAAACATTAAAATTGTAGGGAAATTAACACCAGGACTTTAACATGGTCGTATTGAAGCTAGTGGCGATTGAACTTAGTGTTGTACAAGTTTGGTATAAAATTGTACATGTGATTTCAAATCGAACTCGCGCTATTTGATGTTTTAATTCTATGTTATAAATGATATGTTGTACTATAGTTTTTAAGAAAAAGGTGCAATAAAAATTGTGTCTATCCACGATTATACACGCGTTTTAATTGTTCTTACAAATGATCAGTATTGGAGGACACACGCATAGGTGACGTCATCATTAGCAGCATTTTGACGTCATCTTTGATCTGTTACTTGACAGAAGACCTCATCTAAGATTTATGTTTTTCTGGGGAGAGATATAGTTTCTTAGTTTATTTTGTTCAGGTTACGGATAAGTAACATTTGCATTTGAAAGTAAAAGGAGTCAAAGTTCTGGAATGTGTTATTTTCTGTGAGAGTCGGTTCCATCTACTTAAAGGTTTTCCATCCCTTCATCAACATCCTTAAAATCTTTGCGCAGATTTTAGTTGCTTACAAATTTTTGAAACTATAGCTGTAATCAAGAGTATGCTAGTGTATTGTGTTGTAAATTTGCATATTTGTGACTTATTAAGCAGCCATGAATAATTAAATTTTGAGGCTTTACTGAAGTGTGTAATGTGAAATAACGATCGGAGTATGTTTGTTCTTGGCGTGTCTTGAGCGTATAAAAGCAATGATTTACTCCTTTAAGTTTGCTGCTTTCTTGATCGCATTTGCACAGATATCATGTGTTTCGTCTTTTGTGCGAGAAGGACATCTTGATCTGGACGGTTACGTAAGTAATTCTTGTTCTTTACGTGAAAAACTTCTTTAGTAATAGAATTCTATGTTCTTCTGTATGATTTCCTTTCATCAACTTTTCTGAAATTATTCGACTGCACATGCAGTTCTTTCATCGTAATAGATTCCTTTTTGCAGAATTTTGCTTTCCTTGCAAGCTTCTGTGGCGACTACACCGGACCAGCTGTTCAGTATAATTTTTCATATCCCAAGGTAAACAAATTAAGCCAACCATTAATTAAACATTCACTTAACTCTTAAAAACATTGAAGTGCGGCGAAAGTGTCTTCAGTGAACGATATCGAGTTCATTGACAACTGTGTTTTCTCTGATCATTTGATTTATGTCACCCTTACTACTTTTACATCAGCAAATTCTTAATTTTAGTAATATTTTTACTCAAAGAGGAAGGGTCACAGGGTTATATCAACCGCTTCATCTGTGGAAATAACAAACAAAACGCAGATAAATACCTTATTAGTTCATGAGTCCGGAAATATGACCAGTGTCAACTACGGTTTCGCGACTGTTTCATAGGCATGAAAATGTAAATTTGCGTGCAAAACTCAACAAATGTATTTTTTTTATTTGGGTAAAACCTACTTTGAGATTATTCTGAAGATAAGGTCACACAAAATTTTACGTTTTGGGAGTTTCGTGCTATCTTTGGCAAGATAAACTCTCTTAACAACATCGATCTTCAAATTCGTGCCTGTTCAGTAGAAACGCACGAGTTACTATTTATTTAATTCGCGGATTTAGACGACTCAAACTTAGGCCTGGTGTTGTTTAGCTTCGTAGCCAGTTCCATTCTTTTATTTTTCAGATAAATTGTTGTATCAGCTTTTTGAGTTACTTTGAGGACCAATGGTGGAAAATATGGCCACGACCTGAACTGGTTTGTTTCTCACAAAAATATTAAAAACCTTTAAGATAAATGGATAAACACTGGATAATTATCCGCATCTAATATGACTGGATCTGAGGCGAACAATTAGTTCATCGGGAGTAGTTCTTTCAGCTTGATTAATTTGAGTAAATCGTACATTTTTCGAATCTCATTACAGAGATTTATAGGGGTAAGTTTCTAAAGAAACTGTGGTGCTGCGTCGGTGGGAGAGTATAGCAGGTAATTTAGTGTTGACAACTGGGTTGAAAACGTAAATTAGCCACCGTAAAGGGTAAAAAAGCTGACGTTTCGAGCGTTAGCCCTTCGTCAATCGCTCTGACGAAGGGCTAACGCTCGAAACGTCAGCTGTTTTACCCTTTACGGTGGCTAATTTACGTTTTCAACCCAGTTGTCAACACTAAATTACAGAGATTTATAGACACGTTCACACGGAAAGCAAATTTCGTTAGAAGATTTTAGCACTAGTTAGCTGCTTTTCAGATTTCCACCTCTGAGTTTCCAGAAGGAAAACGCACACCACTATGATCACCAGCTGTTCTTTTTGGGTAACTTGTATATTGTTTGAGTATCAGAGAGATAAGGAGTCATGTTTATGTATTTAGTAAATAACAAGAGCCTATAAGTTTTGCTGTCTGTCTTTCAGCCGTTATTAAACTTAAGTTCAAATGTCGTAAAAAAATGTTGTAACTGCTTTTCCGCAAGTTTCTAACGGGATTAAACTAAGTTTGAGAGTCATAAAAAAAGTACCCTATGTTGTTATCCTCTGCTATAGACGGTTTTCTTGAACTAAATATGGCCTGTGAACACAATCACAATTTTCGGCCTTTGTCTTCACTCTCAGCGTGGGAGACAAAAAGCCGGAAATTTGAAGCCTATGCGTTCGTAAGCTCTACGTGATGCTTTTGAATCTATTATGAATAGGAGAGGTGCCTGTTGGATACGTGGATTAACAGAAAAGTAGATTAAACGAAACTAGAGATCAATTTTGCTACTCGAATTAGCGGTAAACAATTTTCTAACGTATCTAATAACAGTTGCGCCTCAACCATTTAGACCTGTATCAGGCTTGATGTTCTAAGATCTTTGAGCACCTAAACGGCACGAAGGAAAGATTAACAATTTCTCTGTTTAGGTTACACCGAATAAAAGAGGTATTCATTACAAAATATTATAAGGAATTCAACTAAATCGCATTGGCCTCTGATTTTGAGTTTACACGTTCCAGTTGCGGCAACGAAACCTAACTACATTTCCTTGTGGACACTATTATTTCGCCCCGGCTTCATTAATGTTCATTCGACCAGAATCCAATTATATCGCTTTCTAGAGCTCTTTTCTTCAGCCGGTTGAGATTTTCAGTCCAAAACGTTTAGCTGTCATAGGAGGAATAGGTACGACTTCTCAGACACTCTTTGCGCGGGTCGGCTTGATTTTACCTTACAAATTCTGAGTAAAGACTGTACATGATTCACATAAAGCAATTGTTTTATCTAGTTCTAAAACTGTCCATTGTGTCGCAGGATTGCAACGAGAAAGTAAGCAGTTTGGACCCGAATGGAAGTCAGGTTGTTAATCTGACCACAAACAACTCTCGCGCAGGTTGTCATCTTGTCCCGTCTGAAACTAATTCCCTGGTTATGTCTTGTAGAGGTAGCGCAAGAATTTTGTTGCTTAACTTAATTTGAACTACGTACTTTAGGCTTCTAGAGACGAAAAAAGAGGGCATGCGAAAATTGGCAAGTAAGTAGCTGCACGGCGACTGAAGTCACATTCAGGAAAAAGGCTGTCAGAGAGTTTTCACTTTCCTTTTGGGTCTGTCTACTTGCCATCTTGTGCGCTTGCCTTGTCGCTTGCCTCTGCCGACTGTGAGCCTGAAACAGACTAATTCTGTTCACTGATTCGGGTTCACTGTAAGTAACCCCTACTCTCATGTTGATTACGTCTTTCCTTGCTCAAATTCAGCACCCGAAATAAGCCTGATTTTGATACGGTCGGGCCTTGATCATTCGGACTCGTGGGGAATGGGCTTAATAGTACGGATAATCGAGCGCACATATAATCGAAAATATGAACATAAATGTTCGTAGATGATGGGACCAGGAAGAAAGTCTAGATAATGAAAAAATCCGGATAATCGAGGTCCGGAAAATCTAGTTTGACTGTTATACTAATTCTGATGTTTTTGACACTAGGTTATCTGATGTATGAAGTAAGCACTGAAGAACCCTCAACGCGGAAGTGTTGGTATCTAGCAGTTTCTAACTGTTATTCTGCCAAAAAGGTAAAACTATCTTTTGAGGGTTCACCTACACTTGAGCAGAAAAGGTTACGTTCGGACAACTCCACCGCTCTGGACCTCTTACTTTCGGCTGCTATTCTATCTCTTTGAGGGCGCCCTAGTGACCTTGTCCAAGATATTTCGCCCTCTGCAAAACGAAACATTTTGATTGCTCCTAAAGTGAATGTCTAAACTGACATATAAGCTGAGCCTGCATAATTGACACAAAATCCAGCGGTATTTACGAATGACACACACTTTTTCTTCGACTTAAACCTATTTATTATTTCTCTATTAATTAAAATGATTATGAAAACAAAGCTTACAAACTAATCCGAAGAGACGCTTACTTTGAATGAATATATAAATATGCATTATTGATCATTTATATTATCCTTTCTACTCAATTAGGAATTGAAGCTGGATTATTCTCTCAATATAACTGGTATGTATATATGGAATATACCTGTTTTAATGCATTGCATTGTGATTTATATATGATAATGCTTAATGTAAATTAAACAACATCACTTGACGAATTTATCCGTGGACGTGACAGGACTTTAATTTGAATTTTCATTCCCTTAACCGACACGCAAGGAAAGGCTCCAAGGATCTATAGAAGGGAAGTTAGTGTAGTCATGTTTTACTGCGACGTAAATATAGGAATTGAGCTTTTGCCAAACTAGCACATGCTTGTGTGGACAACATCATTTGACGAATTCATCAGCGGACGTGACAGGACTTTGATTTGACCTTACATCCACTTAACCGACACGCAAGGAAAGCCGGGCTCCATAGATCTAAGAAGGGAAGTTGGTGTAGTCTTACCGCAACGTAAATATAGCAATTGAGCTTTTGCCAAACTAGCACATGCTTGTATGGAAAACATCATTTGACGAATTCATCAGTGGGCGTGACAGGACTTTGATTTGACCTTACATCCATTAACCGACACGCAAGGAAAGGCTCCATAGATCTATAGAAGGGAAGTAGGAAGATAGGTTATGAGATTCCTTTTGTTTTGAGATGTTTTTGACTTATATAGTAGATAACTTAGGCTATATTTGAATTATATTGTATATTGTAGATATTTTATATTTTATATTTTTTATATTTTATTTTGTAATTAGGTAGCGCTTTGGACAATTATTGGATTTTAGCGCTATATAAATAAAATTATTATTATTATTATTATTATTATTATTATTATTAAGTTGGTGTAGTCATGTTTACTGCGACGTAAATATAGCAATTGAGCTTTTGCCAAACTAGCACATGCTTGTATGGACAACATCATTTGACGAATTCATCAGTGGACGTGACAGGACTTTGATTTGACCTTACATCCACTTAACCGACACGCAAAGCAAGGCTCCATAAATCTGTAGAAGGGAAGTTAGTGTAGTCATGTTTTACTGCGACGTAAATATAGCAATTGGCAATTGAGCTTTTGCCAAACTAGCACATGCTTGTATGGGCACAAATCAACAAAGCCACAAATGAACTTAAGTTACTTAAGTTATTGTGTTTCATTTTGCGTCTATTGATGTCTTGTTGTTTTGTTTCAAAGTACGCACACTTAAAGAGAATCTTTCAACGTGCTTTGCAGGAGCGGCACCAAACAAGGCAACAGCCACGTTTCACCGCCTAAGCTTGTTGTGTGGCCTGCTTTTAAACTGTTTTTTGACCATGTGGGTGTCTTGGACATCAACCGCTCACTGACGGACATTTTGTCGCAGAAACGGGGATGTAGTCTTCTTGTGGTTTCAATTGCATTGTTAAATTTGACAAAAATGTAATAAATGCCTCTCTTTTCTGTAAGGCTGTGTCTTTGGTTTTTTTTTTTTTTTCTGTTTTCGTCCTTGTTTTTCCGCATAGGGGTGGTTAACGGTACTCCTGAAATTACGACTCTGGAAGCTTTGATACAGTTGCTTCTCGGTCAGTTCATGTAACTCGCAACGTGAAAGGAAATTATTAACAGTTCTTGGACGAGGTCGACGAGATATCGGATTTGTCAATGGCAAACGGATGAATTATTTGCCAAGGCTGAAGGCAGATGGAAATAATAATCGGAACAGGATACAAGAAAGTAAATTTACTTAACATTTCCAAAACTTCACTTTCTTAGTCTCCAAAGGTAACTGAAACCACAGTGTAGCACTGAAAGTTTACTACGAGATATCCATACCAAAAGGTTCCCAAGCGAACCGTTTAACCCGTAATAGTGACTAACATCTAACTTCTCGTTAAAATATCACCTCCGAATCACACATTTAAGTCGGGAGGAAAAAGGAGATGATTACCAACTAAAGAAGCTTTTGATTGTTAAACAAATTCTCCTTGTCAGCACCATGAGAATTACTTAGGAAACATTATTGAAAAATTCATACCGATGTTAAGATGTAAAGAGATAACTAAAATTTCATGCTAATGATAAACTTCTGAAAATCATATTTCTTAGTTCCGGAACGATGAAACGCATCTGAATTTTCGATCTTCGTAATCTAAAGGTACTAGATTTCAGCAAAAATGCCGAAACAGAATGCGTCAATAGAGATCACAGGTCAATCAATCAAAAGTTGAATGATTCACTTGGTGTTGACTCTGATAACAGGGCACGGGGGTTGAATGTATGGCGAAATAATCGAGAAATGTTCAGAGATGGTTTTCGTCGTATGCTCATCTTAGCAGTCTATTGATATCATAATAAGTTAAAACTTTTTCCAGCGCTCTGAGTACTTTTGACAAGATTCGCGTAGTGTCTCGACTCCAAGAATTTGGCAATTATGGTGTGGAGGTACTTGCGGTATATTTTGTATTAAAAGAAATATTTTCGTCTGTAATTTAGATTGCAAACGCATCATGCTGAGAGAACTGGCACAGAAACAACAATTACTTATTATTCAGTATAAGTACGTGATGAAGTGTTCCTCATTCAGTTAAGGTGTTGATAGGAAACTTTCCGGCCAGGCCAAGGAGCATAAGTTTCTGAGCTTTTGATTCTAACGTCAATTAAGCATAAAAAATAGCCGTCGTGAGATTGTTGACCATTTCAGGACAAGTTGCAAGGAGAGTGTAGAAACCTTCAGTTCCGCGATGTCAAATTTCATTTACTCCATGGTATTTTTTTTTTGGTATCTTACAGATCGGAAATTGTGGTAAGGCTTATATCTGATATGTTTTCCGTTTGTTTCCTCCTTCAACTGACTTACCTGTTGGGAAGAAGAACAAATGCAAGCCGTCAACTTTATTAAAATAGGCGTGTAATTTCACTGCTCTGCGTTGGTACTGAGGCACCTTGTGCGGGTTTTACATATGAATCCTAGTTTCTTTGTGATGACAGCGAGGATTTATCATTTTAGATTTCTGAGCCGTGCTCTTTAACGACTACACTGTTAAGGGTGTATTTTGATGTATCTTTTTCTACTGCTATTTTCATCTTCGATATTTCCAGATCACATACGTTTTAGTCGTTAACGAGAACTAAAGTAAAGTCTAGCAGAAAATAGGCAGATTTGGAGGACGAAAAAGGCAAAACTCATTTGGATTCTTTAAACAAAATGCAAAGAAAAATAAAGAAAATGTCTCCTATTCACAACAAACGAAAATATTTTCATACGATTCAACGCAAACGGTTGGTAGACAGACATCAAAAGCTCCGTTATTGTTGTTCTCTAAAATGCATGGTTAAAACAGCACGTGGATTGACGTATTATTTCTCATATCTACTCAATATTTTCTGAGTGAAAAACGCGAACGGATTCCATAATAACAGTCTCTAAACATCTCGTCTTTTTTAAGTTTGTCTCTACAAAGAGAAAGATTTCTGACGGGAATCTGTAAAAATAAAAGAATATCCAAAAGAAACATATTAAACAATAATAATAATAATAATAATAAGTCTTTATTAAGCACTCTAAACAACAAACGTGTTTAGTTACAATGATATGAAATCAGCAAGTATAAAGCTAATAAACTAACTAAATTACTAACTGAATAACTAATAAGAGAACAAACATCTATTAATAAAGGTCCTTTTGAAACGTTCAGTTCTGACAAGCGGGAGAATATAATTATGGCGCCTCTTACGTAGCGTATCCATTGTTCGCTCTGGTGGCAAAAGGTCATCTAAAGCTGTTGGAAAATCGCTGTCGGTGATCTTGGCCCACAACTTCTTATCTTTTAGAATGATAATATTTTCAATCGAAAAAAAAAGCTCTTTACAGTAGCCAAGCTTAAAAGCTCTCTTGAACAGCCTGTCTATGCGACTCAGATACTTATGATAATACGCGCAGCCCCATACTTCTACAGCATATGTAAATATAGGTAGAATAAGACTGATAAAGAGAAGATGAAGATGATCCAGCGGCAGTCCATAGAATTTACAAACACGTAAGATGTACAGACGACTACTGGCTTTCGATATAATATTATCAAAATGTAAGTCCCAGTTACACGGATCAGATTGAAAAGTTACACCCAACAACTTCAGACATGGTTTACGCTCTATAGAAACCAGAGGAGCAGGTAAGGCCTTAGTGGATTTGGATTTGCCTCTAAGAAGCATCTCCCACGTTTTCTTGAAGTTTAGTTGCATACGATTAGCAGATGTCCATGCGACGATCGATCGGACCTCCTCAGCTGCTAAATTGCCGTTATTAGCCAGCGATTTTACTGGAATACTTAATGTTAAATCATCAGCATATTTCATTTTTTTTTGTTACTTGTTCTTGTTGTTTACTTGTTTGAACCGCGAAAGGAGACTTAGTGTTCTGTTTCTGTACCTTTTCTCCCGACCTTTGACCATTTTTTTTTTATATATTTCTTGTTCAAAGTACATTTTGACTTTTGTAATGTTTATATTATCTCTAAGCGGAAATCCTGCTATGGCGCCCTAACCTTTCACAACAAGTGAGTTCAGTTGTTTTTCTCTTTAGAGTGTGAAATACCTATGGATTTGGCCATTCTGGCTGATATATCACAGAGTCTAAGAACAGAAGATCTGCACCGACTGCGAGATGCCATTCATGACGTAGTGGAGAGAGTGGGTGTGTCTGAAAGAAAAACTCGCGTCGCTGTTGTCACGTTTGGCGGGAACACCAGTGTCGTAAACAACTTTGCCAACAGCACTTACTATAACGCAAACTACTTGAAGACACGTGTGACTGAGGCACTGCGTAGTAACTCGAGACGCGAGGGAACTCGTACAGATTTGGCTCAACGCCAGGCAGCGACAAAGCTCTTTACTACTGAAGGTGGAGACAGACCCGATGTCAGAAATGTGATGTTAATCTTTACCGACGGAAAGTTTTACATCAGCAAAAAATGGGATAGACGACCTAATATTACACTATTAAACACCACGAGAGAATTGGAGGTAATTTGAATTGATATTTTTTTATCAGTTTTAGAGTCGCTAGAGCAACGTAGCTGGCAACTTGTATAAATGCGGTAAAACTTTCTTGTTTCGATGCAAGAAATTTCCCCAATATATCTGGCATTTCCATAAATAGTAGTAATAATCATTTTAAAGATTTCCTTCAACAACCCTTCGATCACAGAACACACTAACTTTGCATCGAAAGAGAAAGTAAAAAAACTACAGAGTGGTTTTAATTTTTTTGTGGCTCTGTGTTCCGGCATATTTTCAAATTGGTCATTCTTGAAATTCCTGACTCCAGCAGCGCTCCAAAATATAATCTGTTTGCAGAAATTTCAATTTAATTTGCTCTTGTTACTTCAGCCTTTTTATAAATCGTAATAGGCTGTGTTGTTTCTCCTCTTTCCTCATTTTTTTTCTCGATAAGAAAAAAGGTGTGAGAATCATTGTGGTTGGAATTGGGAAAGATGTGTCAAAAGAGAAGATAAAAAAAGCGGCTGGTAGCAAAGAAGAGGTTATAATACACAACAGTTATGGGGAATTGATTGAGAAACTTCAAAAGTTGATCGATGGAATATGCAGTAAGTTAAGGTCATCAGCTTTGTATTGCGCGTATTACATGCTTAAGTAAGAATCGAACGAGTCCCCAACCTGGGAAATGAGTTGTGAAGGGATGAGATTTCGGGGCCACTGAACTGACTTCGTTTTAGACTTTCTTATGATTAAGGCGGCAGATTATATTCTATCTTTTTTTTTAACACCTGGAAAGCACATGCTCATCGCCATCTTCAAGTAAGCTCCGCCATCTTCTTGGTGTTATGGGTATTACCTCTCCTCTCTAACGTAGGATCATTCGTTAGAGGTTGAAGTGCAAGCCATTTATTGTAGAGAAATCAGCCTTTGAAGGGAAAGGATTATTTGACATGACAAAAAATAAAAAAGGCCTGGCTTGCAACCATTTTCCGAGTAACTTTCTTGGCCGAACTCATCACGGAGAGGCTAGTCTCTCAAAACAAATATTGAAAACTCCAGTGTTTTTTTTATCAGTAGATTTTATGAGATGCATGGCTGTGGAAGGGAGGCGATTTTATTGTTTTTGTTTTTATTCAAATTAAGTTCCAAAAGATGGGGGCTACTCTGATTGGTCAGAATCTGAGTGCAGTGTGACGTGCGGAGGCGGAATAAAGACTCTTACGAGGACCTGTACCAATCCTCCACCAATCAATGGCGGGAGGGACTGCACCAGACTGGGACCTGCATCGAAAAATGTTCCTTGCAATGAATATGCATGCTCCAGTAAGTCATTCACTTTCCTTGTAATTTATGTCAAGATATAGTTGGCCAGTATTTGTAACGAACAAAACCACTTCCACCTGGTGAGAGATTTCTTGCAGTTCGGTAACATAGAAAAACTCAGCAATTTAATCAAAGAAGAAACGAACGAACGGACAAGTGGCTATGGATGGATAAGATCACCAAAAAAAATGTGCATGACTGAATTTAGTTCAAAGTTAGACATTTTATATTTAAACGGTACCCAGTCAGTGACCTACCGTGAAACATGGAATCTTGTGAGGATTATGTTTTGCGGATTACCTTTCTATTTTGGCCACAAATAATTTTTGAGGTTTAAAGTTTATGAAATTTCAGCCAGGACTTTATTTTGAGGGTCTTTTTTCGAGCAGTGTAACACTGAAAAGAAAATTTTCTCCCGGCTTGTCGAGTTCATCAGTGAAGAGCTGGTCGGGTTAATGATTCGTATATCGATGTCAGTTAGAGTGCTATTTGAACTCTTTTTTCCCAGAAGAGATTAACACCAAACTTCTCCCTATATTATTCCTACATTGTCCAGCAAACAGGTGATGAGAATACCCAAACTTATCAGGTAGATTTTTGTTATCCTAGTCTAACACCAAATTCTCATAACTAATTTACAAGGAAATCTGTAACAGCTAGAAGAGAGAATTGACAATAAGATATCAAGAGTTGAAGGGTTCATGAAAGCGAAAAGTGATACATGCAGAGTTTTTCATTTGCGGTATATTGCCGTGCAGATTTCTTTTTTCTTCAGGAAATTACCTTTTCAGATAAAGGTCTATTGGAAAATCCACAAAGATTAAATGCCTCAAAATTTTTACGCTGCTCCGTAGCTCTTGAAAGGGCTTTTTATGATTGCACGAAAAAGGCAGCTCTATCCTGGGTGCTATGTTGAAAGGTGCGTTAGCCAAGCATTTACAAAAGATAGTTTACACTGATCTTTTTGTTGGGTAATCTAGTATGCCCCATGGATGTGGCGTTTATCATGGACTCTTCTGGAAGCATAAAGCGAGCGGAATTCTACGAGGAAAGACTCCTCGTCAAGAAGCTGGTGGTGCAGGTGACAGCAACTGGTAACCGGGAAGCTCTGATTTTGTTCGGTTCATCAGCGAGTGTCAAAGCTCAACTTGGACAGTACGATACCGCTGAAAAGTACATAGAAGTTGTACAAAAACTACGAAAGAAAAACGGAAGAACTCGAATCGACAGGGCTCTAGATGTGGCTGTTGATGAGGTGTTCTCTTCTGCGAGACCCTATGCATATAAGATTGTCATCGTTCTAAGTGATGGCGTACAATCCAAAGGAGCTAAAAGCTTGAGGGAGAGTTCCAGACCCCTTCGACAGGCAAACGTTCGTGTATTAGCGGTGGGGATTGGAACTGGTATGGCGAAAAATAGATTGAGGCTAATGACAGGAAGTGATGACGATGTTGTGGATGTGAAAGATATTGACGGACATCTGCAGTATATAATCACCAATATTTATCGAAATCCTTGCGGCGCCCTGCGTAAGTATCAACTTGTGAAGTTTTTACAGAGGAGGAGAATAAGGTCTGAAAATTAATTCCCCATACCGGTCTTCTTTCGAAGCTTTTCCCTCCTCTCATCATCTTTTACCAAAACTGATTTTACTTTCAGAGCATCACATAAAACGATAATATCGTGTTTGACTTTTAATTATTGTTGTTTTTTTTTGTGTTCAACCAGAAGCTGCAAACATCTTTCCGAGCAGCACTCCTGTAACCAAAGGTATAAGTCACTCTTTCGTCATTGTCGTTATGCTCTGCCATAAGTCATGCAGCACTCTTGTACCCAGAGATAAAAGTCACTCTTTCGTCATTGTTGTTATTCTCTGCCATAAGTCATACAACACTCTTGTACCCAGAGATACAAGTCACTCTTTTGTCATTGTTGTTATTCTCCTCCATTAATAATGCAACACTCTTGTACCCAGAGGTACAAGTCACTCTTTCGTCATTGTTGTTATTCTCCGCCATTAATAATGCAGCACTCTTGTACCCAGAGATACAAGTCACTCTTTCGTCATTGTTGTTATTCTCCGCCATTTATAATGCAGCACTCTTGTACCCAGAGGTGCAAGTCACTCTTTCCTCATTGTTGATATTCTCTGCCTTAAGTCCAGCAGCACTCTTGTACCCAGAGGTACAAGTCACTCTTTCGTCATCAGCCAGTCTTTGTAATTAGTCATGCAGCACTTCATCTATGTCGGGCATATTGTGTCTTTGGGACTTGCTAGGTTCTAATCCCAAAAAATGCCGGTAGAGTACTACAACAATCTGCTGATTCTCTGATAACATTCCCGCTTACACGGTACTCCTAAAGATTGCGCAGTATATTTGTAAATATACTCGTTCGGTTTATTTTTTCCAATGTGTTATTTTCAGAATGTGTGGACCATCCTCTCTACACAAGCTTTTGTGAAAGGAAAGGAACAGAGCACATGTGTTGGGAACATGCAGATTTTATGGACATTTATTGTCCTAAGTCATGTGAACGCTGCGGTTGAGGTGAGTGTTTTCAAGCTACGTCACAGTATTTTGAGCTGTTGCTTTTAAAGAAATAGATACCTTTTTGCTGTGCGTCTGTTCTATGATGGATCACAGATGACATCAAAATGTAGTGAGAACCAAAATGAAGCATACGAGATGCAGCCGGGCGTTTCATTGATGTTCTAGACGCTTCTGTGATATATTACTGTACAGACGCACGGCAACATACAATCTATTTGTTTTATATAATTAAAAAAGAAAATTTTGTTAACGGTGACGTCATCCTTGCGTCTGTCTTCCAATAGCTCATAAGCAACAGCCAATCAAATGCGTGTTTAATTCAGCTTATCATATAGATATAGATAGATAGACATCTTTTTTAAAAAAAAAAAGTAGTGGTCTGTTGAAGGGTCGTAAGAATCATGCCTGCTATCAAAGATGCCTCAGGTGCTATATTTACTTTCTTGATCATGTCGTTGCCGCCGTCTTTTCTCTCTTTGTTTATTTGTTCTAATTGTTTTTGTTTAAGATGCTGACACTTGCTCTTAATTTGAGTAATTTGAAACAAACTCGAGTTGAGTAACTGTTTGAGAAAAACAGTAACGGTGACTAGAATCAAGTAATATACTACAATGGTGGTTAACATGGAATAAAAATGCTGTTGTGAAAAAAGGAGGCAAAACCCCGACTCCAGGGACAATGTGTTCGGAAGGAAGTCAGGGTGAATCCAGGGTAAAGCTCAAACTTGGTGTAAATTTTCATCCATGAAAACATATTAAACGGCAGAGATTTTAAGGAAAAATTTGCCAGAACAATTTCAAGTTGCACTAACGATAGTTTCTGCAACGAAACAAAGAGACCCTTTACGCCGTCCGCTTCCACCCCACCCCCCACCCCCCACCCCCACCCCTCCGCCTCAAATAAATTTAAATACTTAGTCAGCGCAAGATCGATGTTCCATTCCAAGGAGAATCTTCATTTCAATCTTGAAGAATGATATAAACTGATAGTCTGAAATTTCACTTGCAGCCGTAACAAAGTAATGAAGCCCATCAGAAAATCAAGCTGAAGATTAATCTCATTATATATGCAGAGGCTTTGTTTATCGCACAAAACTTTTATTTCACTTTAATGAATAATAAATTCAGTCATTAAAACTGAAAAATGAAAAGAATGGAACGGAATGCTGAGTTGATTGACAATAAAGAGTATTAGCTAAAACTAGATTCTTCTCTCCTTATAAATGAGTAAAATTTATTTTTTCTCTCTGTCTGGTGTTGATTTAGACACTAGTATCTGATTTTAGACTAATGACCGATTTTGGACACTAGTGTCCGAAATTGGAAAGTAGTGGTGAAACAACTGGTGTCATTGCTGCCGTTTTGTCACCAAGCGGTGCTGGCAGCTGCTCTGAGTGGAATTGGGATAATTGCAGGACCGCCTTTAGCAGGTCTCGCCGCTTGGTTTGGTTCCATATCGATAGCACTTATTGTCAAGAGCAAAAAGCTTAATTCGAAAATCACGAAGCACAAGCAAACAATTTTAAATGCTAAGGCAAAGCACCTTTCAGTCAACAGGTTGTTTTCAAAAGGAATGAAAGATGGATCAATCTCTGATGTTGAATTCGACTTGAATTTGCACGAGATCGAACAATGTTATTCGTTAAAAAAATCAGCTTAGGAGAATAGCAAATGAAGCTGATGTTGACTCTATTACCAACAGACTTCTGTTGGAATAAGTTCTGGAAATCTTTCCACCATTTGCGTCGTTTCATTATCAACAAAATCCTGGGCATTTGGGAATCTTATGACAATCCTTTGCGTAAAAGCCTCAAGATAATTCGAAAATTCTGTTAAACGTTTCTTGTTCATGTTTTACCACGTCCGCGACAACTAAAGCTTGTATGCAAATGTTCCAGAATTTGTCTGATGCAACAGACAGGTGTAGAAACCACCTGTCTGTTTCTCCACCGATGAAAATGAATTTGGTTTTATTATGAAATATGGCGACATCTTTCCTCAGTAACAAATATTTTTTTCTTTTATATTTAATTCTTTAACTCCCAGGTCAAATTTGTAATGCTCCTTATTGTCAACCATACAATTTCTTATAATGTTAGTTAATTAAATTTTAGTATTGGATCAATTTATTATCCCCAAATTGATATTTTTCTTTATTCTCATCACTTATCTGGTTAATATTGTATTGATATTGTAAGGAGAAATTGCGTCTAGGTCACTCATGGAAGTGAAAGGGTGGAGACAAAAAAAATGCCAAATGTCTGAAGAACAGATGGGAAAGCATGAAAATCTTTGAAATGATAAACGTGGCAACAAAAGTAGGCATAAGAGGTCATAGGTATTGTTGTGAAAACCAAAAATGATCTCATTGAATTCATCCTGCATAGCAAAGAGAGTAAAACAAGCGCCAAATCATTGAAAACTTCTTTGATTTCAGTAAAGAATTAAAAAATTAAATTATTATGTACTCACAAATTCCGAGCTCAGAAAGTTGCTTGGTTTTGAGATTGAGGAAAAGAAATGCAGATTAAAACCTGACATTTTCACAAAAGATGATGAAAGGTGTGAATTCAAAACTCGGAAAGACACCATAGATTTTTTTCAGAGTGAGCGGAAATAAACTTGCATAAGCGATCATAAATAACTATATTCCGTATTCCTGCCTCTTCTCACGCAAGGAGGTAGTGTTCCACGCATGTTAATCCTTGATGTAAACCTCACGGAACATTCCTTTTTTCCTAACCTCGCTCCTTTCATATTATTGTATCAGCATGTTCAGAATCTTTTTTTACAAAAACCTTGGTGGCCAGTATAAGTTAGTTTCAATTCATAATCTGCAAGACTCAATTGAGAGAAGCCATCTTGTTTGTAAGTTCATGATATTTCACAGCAAGCTCTAAAACACGATTCATTGATGGTTCCACGGATATCACATCTCGTTTCACTAAGTAACGATTAACGTACTTCACCCGACACTCATTGTAAAACTTTCGTCAAATCAAAGATTATGCAACATTGTCCTAAATTCTTTTTGTTTACATGTTACGCTCTGTTTCATCAGTATAGATATTTACTAATGTTTTTTGATTCATTTTTTTACTTAAAAATGTCAGGGTTTATGGATGCATATACAGGAAGCTGGTAAATAAGTTTTCTTCATTGATCTTTCTCTGTTTTCCTTATGTTTCCTCTGATTCTACTTTGAGACTTTTCCATTTATTGTTTATCAATTTGCAAACGAGGTTCACCAGGTTTTCAAGTAAACAATGATGTTCATGAAATGATTACATTTTATTTTTTGAGAACAACTCTATCGTCTATTGACAAAAATGAATTGACAAAGAAGCTACCTGGTTCTTGTTGTGAGATTATTTGTTTCGTGATCCGTGATTCGACGCCAGTTTTGGCGAGAGAGATAAAATGTGATATCAACCTGCGAAACATGATACACTATCTATATAAGGGAAATGCAGGAGTTGGACCTTGCTGCGAATAAATTTTGACTGGCAGCTTGCAAGGCGTCCCTCCAATTTGGTTAGGAACGTTTCCGTGATCTGCAATGTGACACCACTCTTCCAGTGGGGAGTGAAAAACTACCTTGATTATCCGGAAAATTATGTTGTATCGTGTTTAAGAGCCTGCAGTGAAAAAACTTAAGACTTGCAGCCTGCATGGCGTCTTCTCAATTCTTAGATATCAGAAATTTGCTCAAAGGGGATATGACTTCCCTTAGTTTTTAGTAAAACTTGGTCTGAATATGCTGATATTGTTCATCTTTTTCTAAACATAGTCTTAACGAAAAATTATAAAATAGATTTACTTTTCTTAAATAGTGATATTCCGTGAGGCTCAGATCACATGCTAACAGGCCTGGAGCATTATTAAGATATCAATTAAAAGCCAAAACAATCCCTGCTTATCAATACAATAAGGTTCAGGAAAAACGTTTTAAGTAATTTATAGTAAGGTTAGTCTAAACGTAGAAGACTCTAGAA